CATAGTAAAAACGAATGGATGACACTTCCCTGTCCACGCTCAGATGCCAGCAAATGCTAGGTAGTTATTGCTGACTCGCATGTCCCAGGGAAAGATATATCTTCTCTGCCCTAACCATAATGGTAGCCATCAGCACACTACCCAAGCACTCAACCCCTAATCTCCCACCTTGTAGCCAACCCTGAGGGTGGATGTTCCATAAAACTGGCCAAATGGTTAAAGGTTGCTCCCAGAAATAACTGTTGCCCAATTGTCATCCGTCCAGTTTACCACATTGAAGAGGGCCTTTTATAACAATATATATGACACACCCTTGCTCCTAATAGTTATTGCCGTGTTGGAAGCATCGCCATGCTGAGCAACGCCTATACTTAGAGTTGTTTCTCACTATCACCTTGCCAACCTGCGCACTATCTCAGCCTAAGTTGTAGAACTACCATCAATGTGGCTATAAGAAATTCCGCAGAATTGTCAAATGAATGAGGGTTGCTCCCGGGTGATGGACATCACTTTCCACACGACACCGTAGAAGAACAATGGCCATGCACCACCGACGCAGGACAGAGAAGTACCACGATGACGCCTCCCTCGTGCAGTGTAATTGAGCCGGTAGGACATTCAGTGCCGTCAAGTTCAAGTAGATAGTGCTCTCGCCGCCCATTGCACCTCATACTCAGAGCTTGATAGAGCCTAGAGGGCTAGCAGTGTAGGACAGCTGCTGTTCCCAAGGGTACCTTGGGTAATGGCGAGATTCTTAACTACTACTCTGATATGCGGTACACTGCTCCGAACCGGTGCCATCATAGCGTTCTGTACTTAATTCGCGCCGAAACAGCCTTTGCCTTGCCCCATATGCCAGACGGCGGCATGCTGCTGTGAAGCTCTCTTTGGTCAGCAAGTCCTGGCGCTGGTGTCCTGGAAGGAGTTTAACCAGAGCACCAGGCATTGGTTTGCGATAGCTCGCATACCTGTGCGCCATGTAAGCAGCTCGTGAACGGTCCTGCTTTTTTCTGCCAAGGCCCATGGCCTAAGGATCAGGTTTTTGGGCTACAAGTGTAACTCCAAAATCTATTAGCACAGAGCAGCGCAAACTCTATGGGCGTCAACAATCAGTCACAGGTAGCTGGCAAGATTTTCTGGCAAATAAGTTCTTGCACAGACCAGCCTCTTGGACAAACTACCAACTAGGACATCGCAAGAGCTCCCAACGAAGATCAAGGACCATGTTAAATGTTGATGGAAGTACTTCCGCGCATCGATGCACTTAGGCCTCTTCGGATTGGTACAAGGCACAAAAAGGAGCTGTGGCCACGGTGAGATCTCCAGTTGCCGCATTTGAATCGGAATCACCATCTGTCCAAAGGAAAGACGTGGTAAATGCTATCTTCCTCGACCCATGGTTGTGCCCGATAATTGTATTTTACCGCATGGTCTCAATGTTTTTACTTTTTTCGGGCATATCCATCTGGATGGTTTTGATTGCGGGCCCTTTTGCAAATACTGAGTGACCATTTAATTATTCAATAATTTTTCAGAGGTGGATGAACTCTGCAGACATGCGGCCAACAGCTGCTGGAAAGACTGGTGCCTCCTAATTACTGGTGACATAGCTCCGGCCAACGTCTTGCCATTAAATTATCATGGCCTGTTTCCTTGTTTGGTTACAAAGCTCAACAAATTGATTGCCGAATAGTTTGTCTCTCTGTAACCTAGAGATACTATGCAGGACCTCAGCTACTGGACAATGATAAGAACCAAAAGTCTGCGTGAAATGGCAAGTTCACTCCCTCAGAGCAGCCCATTGTGCGTTAAGTAGGCAGCACGTTCACAGAATTGCTTGTTTCTGCCAAGGCCCACGGACCAAGGGAATAGTCTACTGGATACGGGAGGGGCACCTAGGTGGCAGTACGTCCCCAAATCCAAAGCACAGAGCAGCACTAACTCTATGGGCTTCCACAATCAGGGAATGTTAGCTATTGGTTTCTGCCTCTACAGATAAAGTTTCCCCATGCCAACCATTATCCCCCTTTGCCAATATATCCAACTTGACCAGTGGATGTAGCTGAGTAGGACCGACCACTATGCTTAGCAACCGTCCGCCATTCTAAGGTACTCATACCCCATCAGTGTACCCTTGTCCCTGGTTCTGAGCCAAAGGGGTGTTTATCTAGTGATTGGCTGCCCTTAAGTAATTATCTGGGTGATGGCACTACACCAAATACCATTACAGTATTGTAACGGCTTAAACATTTGCCTCTCTACTGCCACAGTCCAATCTAAATCTCCCAAGTATGCAGGACGCTAGGAATAGCCGAATAGCCACTAGGGCCCCAAAGCATACTATTGACATGTTGCAGTAGGAGGTGCCTCAAGTGCATACTACTTGTCTATCTTTGTCATTGCGTCCGTGAATTTTGGCTAGAGCTTACCCGCCTCTGTGTTTCCTGTCCACCACCCTGTTTGCTGCAGGACGTCCATTAGCGCTGTACAGCATTTCGGACCTTATCCATGCACAGGGCAGCGCGTAGCGCAACTGCTGACCATGTTCGTGCCTTACTCCAGCAGCTCCTTTTTGTCCATCGTGTTAAACTCTTGGCCATGAGATTGCAGTGCCAGTTGGAGGAAACCATGGATGACCTGGACGACATAGGGTTTGACGAACAAGTACTAAGCGGAGTATTACGAACCGCCCACCTGGAGATCAGTGGATTTATCGCCCGTTGTGACCGAACAATGCTCACGACGGAACAACGCATCCTGCGTATACTACTGCGATGAAGTGCGGAGCAGCAATGTACAGATAGAAGTTTTTAACTTGGCTACGCTGAGTGCCCACCTGCCGCCAAGAAACAGTCAAGCAGTCAGCAATCCGTACTCCCTCGAAACCACCATAGAACCCCTCTAACAAGTTAGTCGTCACATTGTAGGTATACCCCCCCTTTTTACTTTTTAAAGGATAGAGCTGATTGAAACTGCTTCCCGCACTCAACCATCTATCTAAGTAGTCCCTCATGCCCTCACCCCCCGCTGTGCCCCTCACATCAGTAGGAACACGACACATGTGTCTCTCATTCCCCTACTGTTCCCAAGGGCACCTTGGGTAATGGTGAGGGTTCAGCTCCGCTTTCACCCTACCAGATACTCATCTCACATGGTTCACACACTCATGACTATCACCCTCTTCCCAATATCCTGACGGCCATATATCCTCTCACTAATGTGTGCTCCTTGCTGATAGTGCTCCTCAGGGTCCATCGTTTCTAGCATACCTTGCACAGATTGCCACCTCCTCCTGTCATGTGCTGCTGCCCCACCACTTGCTCCGCTCCTTGCCACTTCCTCCTGTGTCATGTCTCTACTACTGAACCACAATGCACCTTCACTCCAATCCTGTTACCGGTAACATGTTGTACATACTTCCCACCGTTGCAGTGTCTGGTATTTTGTTAATTGTGCCTGAACCGAACATGATTCACTGTCTCCGTCAGCAGCCGTTGGCTCGAACTACGAGGACACCGCACCTGCATAAGCCAGTGTTGCCTGGATCCTCATTGACCCCAACTTCTAATTTGCTCGCCCGTTCATACATTCAAGCCAACACGGGGTTCTCGTTGTTTGGCCGCTGCCCGCAATAGCGAGTGGTTCCTGTCGTTTGGTCTAACCATACGCCACGCAATTGCCTCCACTCCGGAGAGTGCTGCCACTGCAGGGTACCTGTTGCTGGTATGCCGAAGCCAAACCCTTTTCCGTCTGGCCAAATCAGTGTTTCTGATCAACACCTACTGGACATATCGGCTGGAATGAATTGGGACATGCCAGCAGCCAGCAACGTTCGCTTTCTTGCAGTGAGGGGCACAATTTGGTAGGAGATTGCCAAACAACATATAACTTTACGCTGGTGGAATACCAATTGCATATCGACGAGGTACCATGGCTCATCTTTTCTACTCTTGCTGACGTCCTTGAGAAAGAGTTTGACCCTGCCTTCTGGGAGACCGTTAATTACGGCCGGAAAGAGCGGTGGGGCTTTCTTGAACCACCCTGGGATGGAAAAGTCTACGGTGTTGCGCCACCGTATACCAGAGTCCGATTATCCATATTTAATAATGTCGCTCATACCATGCGTGTCGTGCAACCCTTTGTGTGGAACCAGACCCACCTCAAAGTTCATCCGAACGGAGCAGCGATCTTCCATCAGCCGGCAAGGCTGCAGGGAAAGGCAAGGGACGTGGAGGGGGCATTCGCCCCACCAAGAAGTTGTTTGTGAAGACCCCTGATGGTCGCCCGTTGTGCTTTAAGTACAACAACAACGCCAAGTGCGCCGCAAAGAACTGCAACTTCGTCCATCAGTGTCAGCGGTGCTTGGGAAATCACCCCAAGTCGTCATGCAGATCAGGCGGCAACGACACAAGCAAAGCAGCCACGCCGAATGCAGGCGCTGGCGACTGAGAGAAGGTAAAGTCTGTTTCACCAATGCAAGTGTCACCCAAGCCTAAAAGGCGCTTCAGGGTACTGTACCTCTTCTCAGGGGCCCCTCGCAAAAGCGATGTGCGCAGCTGTATCCAACAACTTTGCATTGCCAAGGGAGTCGAATTGGAAATGGTTGAGGTTGACCTCATCTTGGGGGATGGCCATGATTTGAATGATGATGAAAAGTGGGAAGAAATTGCAAAAAGGATAAAGCAAGGCGATTTCGACGCCATCATCATGTCACCTCCATGTTCCACGTGGTCCCGGCAGTATGGTCTAACAAAATTAGACCCCGGCCGGTCCGTTCCAGAGACTTCCCACACGGTTTTCCGTGGCTCAAAGGCGAACTCAAGGAGAAAGCTGCGATAGGTAGCAAATTGGTCTTGAGGTGTGTGGAGGTCTTGGATATTGCTCCACCATACACTGTTTGTGTATGGGAGCACCCAGAAGATTTGGGCCGTTCAAGGAACGGCGTGCCCGCTAGCGTCTGGCAGTTGGAGGAAGTCAGACGGGCAGCAAAGAAGCGACGTATGGAAACTATCGCATTCCATCAGTGCACATACGGTGCAGACCATCCAAAGCCCACAAGGCTGCTGAGCGACGCTCATGGGTTGCTGCAGTTGGGCTATCCAGGATGGCCAGTCCTCAACAAAGAGCTTTACTATTTGGGTCCGTTGCCACGGGCTTGTGGCCATGAACACCCACCTCTCATTGGCACAAATACAAACGGTGGTTTTGAAACGGGCCCAACAGCCGCATACCCCATAGAGATGAACCAGATGCTGGCGAACCTTGTGTTTCTCCATTGGTTCAATCAGGCTCTGACGCCTGCGGAGGGGGTCACCAACAACATGGACGCAGAGCCTGCAGGGGAAAGAAGGGCGGAGGACCCAGCCTTGGACTTGGTGCCAAAACTGGCGGAAACCCAAGAGGCAAAGCAGGCCGAAAAAAGGCAAGGAGCGGCATACGCCATGAGGAACCTGGAGGGAAAGGTCTATCATGATGGAGCAGGACTTTGCTCGGAAGGTAACAAGAGGCCGGCCTTCAGAAAGGTTTCACCGATGGTCTCGCTCGGTGAGCAGTTCCTCCAGCTTACATCAGAGGAAGAGATGAGGAGGGACCTATACAGGTTGGCGCTGGGGAAATGTAATGGCCCTCCGTTCCGGAAGGAGGTGGTCGAGAGAGCAAGGCAGGCCTGGCTGGAGTGCCTAGCAGAGAAATCCGGCCTGGCAGTAGAGGAGCTGAGCGCCGTGGAGCCGAGGCAGCCATTCTTGTTGGCAGCCATTGGAAAGCACTTGAAAGTCATCGAGGACCCAGATGCCGAAGCCTTTTTGCCAGACCCAGGCACCTTCAGAACTGGAGTGCCGCTCGGGGTGCAGGGGATGCCTCGGGTGCCGGCGGTATTTGAAGCCAAAGAAAAGTGGAGAAAGTATGAGGAGGTACCTTGGCCGTCTGGCAAGGAAAACTACCTGTCAGCTGCCGAGAATGCGGTGGCGGTTCAGGGGCAATTCCGGAAGGAGGAAGCCTTGGGGGCCATGGTGGAGGTTGATGAAGAGGAGGCCAGGGAGCAGTATGGAGACGGCCTCCGCATTGCGGCCCTGGCTGCCTTGGAGAAGGCTGACAATACCTTCCGCGTGGTCCACGATGCTGCGCACAACGTGGGGGTCAACTCCCAGAAAAAGGTGGAGGACCAACTCAGGTATCCGGGCCCTATGGAGATCAAGATGGCACTGCAAGCATTGCACCCGGCCACCTTTGTGTTGACAGCTGACGTTGCCCGGGCTCATCGGCTGGTCCTGGTGCGTAGGCAGGACTGGGGGTACCAGGCGTGCCGAACTGGAGTCGACGATTCGGGTGAGCCTAGTCGGAAGATCTGGCTTAATACTGTGGGGACGTTTGGAGTGACGTCAGCGTCCTATCACTTTACCCGGCTGTTTGCCGCGGTGAGCAGGTGCGCACAATCGCTGCTGGGAAGGCGTGACGTGTGCCAGCTTATTTACGTTGACGACCTCTTGTTCATTGCTCATGGCCTTGGAGGGCTCGCTGCCGTGTGGACCACGCTCCTCTTCCTACTGGTAGCAGGCACACCCTTTAGTTGGGGGAAGTGCAAGGGAGGAACCCGCTCGGAGTGGGTGGGGTTTCAGATTGACATCGCAAGGTGCGAACTGGGCATGACCGAGAGGAGGCTCAGGTGGGCACGCGACTGGATGGCGAAGGTGTTGGCCAACAAAGTTGTCAGGGTGGACGAATTTCGTTCAGCATTGGGGAGACTGTCCTTTATGATGGCCGCGTTCCCCCACTTGAAGCCGTTGCTAGGGCCACTTTATAGCTGGGTAACGGCGGTGGACCACTGCAACACGCTTCAGGTGCCTGCAGCAGTTCTGATGATCCTCACGTTCCTGAGGAGGACACTTGTCGCGGAAGTGGCCCGTACGAAGGTCCGGCCGCGGATTGAAGATGAAGGGGACCACGCCTTCAGGTCAGATGCCAAGGCCGAAGGAGAGACAGTTGTGCTCGGAGGGTGGTCATGCAGCGATTCCCCAGACCGAGGCAAGTGCAGGTGGTTCTCGGTGAAGCTGGACAGGACCAGTGCACCGTGGGTATTCGAGTCAGGAGAGCCCTACCGGGCCATAGCCTCTCTGGAACTTTTAGGCACATTGGCGTCGGTGGTGGCGTTTCCCCCACAACAGGCGGCCTCGAGGAAGTACCACCTCTCGGCAGGGACGGACAATCTGGGAAACCGGCACCTGATCTCGAGATTCCTCACGACGAAGTTCCCCTTATGCGTCGTATTGATGCAATTGGCCTGGACGCTTCATTGCAAGGATCTGGAGCTACGCCTGGACTGGCTCCCTCGGCTTCAGAACAGGGAGGCGGATGCATTGACCAACGGGGACTTTAGTAGCTTCGACCCCAAGAGACGAGTCGAGGTCAAGCCCGAGGACCTTTTGGAGGAACAATTCAAAGAGTTGTTGGAGCAAGGAAGCGGGCTCTACGACGAAGTCAAGGAACTCCGCAGGAAGAGGAAGGAAGGCATGATCAAGTCATTGCCATCCGCAAAGAAGTCCAAAGGGGCTGACTTGATTGGACCGTGGTGACGCGAAGACGTTCGTTGAAGAGGGGGGTACAAGTGAAGGCGCTTCGGTCTCACGTACTGGGACAGCGAAGAAGTTGCCGGAGACACCTCCCTCGACCAGAACTCGAGCACCCGTCCAATTAAGTGAAGGAGATAAAAAGGAAGACTGCTATAAAGTCCGTCATCCGATTTTAAGGGTAAGTATTACCCAACGAGAAATTGAGAAAGATGGGTTTAGAAGGAATACCGGCCTTTGAGATGGATTGTTAGAAAGAAGGAGTTTGGTCAGAAAGTATTTCTGACCAAACTGCCCGGGGCTTACAAGGTGGGTGTCACGCGGGGTGGACATGTCCATCGAAGTGGGACAGCCAACGACGGAGCTCCGCCTTGGAATGTTGCCAAAGTATTTGGCAACACTTCCTGCCATCAGGGAAAGTATTTCCCTACGTTACATCGTACGGTCGGTGCGTTGACCTTCGCTGCGGAGGAATGTGTTTCCTCCAGGTAAATGATCGCCTTGCAACAAAAGAGCAATCCCAAACTCGAAACATCGCCACTTAGGGGAAAGTATTTCCCTACGTTACATCGTACGGTCGGTACGTCGACCTTCGCTGCGGAGGAATGTGTTTCCTCCAGATGATCACCCTGCGGCGAAAAATGACAAACCCAAACTTGGAACAATTCAAACCCATGGCCCATGTCGGTTATTTACGAATGCTTTGGGGAATGAATTTCCCTATTTGATTTATCCGGGAATGCATTTCCCTCTTGGGTACGTATTACCCTAAAGTTTCCTCACCGGAACATGCTGGAATCACCAATACTATTACCATGGTCCACTGGAAGAGGATATCTTCTCATCGAATGGGATGATGACCAGCAACTGCTGGCCCAAGCTGGGTACCTTCAAAGCAAGGTTTCCCACCCGCCCGCACCTAGGGGGGGTACAAGTGAAGGCGCTTCGGTCTCACGTACTGGGACAGCGAAGAAGTTGCCGGAGACACCTCCCTCGACCAGAACTCGAGCACCCGTCCAATTAAGTGAAGGAGATAAAAAGGAAGACTGCTATAAAGTCCGTCATCCGATTTTAAGGGTAAGTATTACCCAACGAGAAATTGAGAAAGATGGGTTTAGAAGGAATACCGGCCTTTGAGATGGATTGTTAGAAAGAAGGAGTTTGGTCAGAAAGTATTTCTGACCAAACTGCCCGGGGCTTACAAGGTGGGTGTCACTTTTGTTGAGACTGAGTTTCATGGGGGTGCTGAAGGGTCCCAACAAAACAAGAGAAAGAGAGACAAAGAGTGCATGTGGAGTTACAAAGTTGTTTTTGGGTTGCCTTGGGAGTGTGAGCAATTTATTCACAAGGCCTGTCTTTTGGGTCATCCTGCAAAACAAAACCACGCAGTGCCAAAGGACTTGAAGGAAGCTATTGCGAAGCACGTTGAATGGTCTGACAAGACCTTGGTGGAATACAGGATGCACTGGTGCAGGCGATGGCTACGACGTGCTAAAGAACTGGAACAAGCGGAAAAAGAAGATGCTGCAAAGCGGCCTGCTCATGTCAGGACAACCACTGCGTGCAAAAGGCTCTTGCTGACCCAAGAGATGTTGGAGAGTATAGAATATGAGGACATGGAGGTCCTTGAGCTCTTGCGTTGTGGGTCCCCTTTGGCAGGGGAAATTCCAAAGTCATGTGCGTTTGAGGAGTGCTACAAGCCTTGTTTGTTAACGTTGCCACAACTGCAAGGCGACGCTGCAAAACGGAACCAGGCCATTTTGGCCTCATGCAGGTCATCAGGTGATGCGGCAGTGGACCGGCAGTTGCTGGAAGAGACAAAAGAAGAGGTAAAGCTGGGATGGGCCAGAGGCCCCTTTGAGTGTGTTCCAGATGGCTGTGTTGTTTCAAGGAGGTTCCCTCTTGTGCAGGGGTCCAAGACAAGGATGATAGACGATTACTCGATCTCTGGAATTAACGACACAGCGGCCACCAGCAACAAGGTTGATTTGCATATGGTTGATACTTTTGCTGCAGTGGTGCGTGAGTTCTTTCAACAATGTGGGGAAGCTGGCTTGGATTGCAAACTGGTTGCCAAGACTTATGACTTGAAGTCAGCCTACAGACAAGTCCCCATCAGGGAGGACCATTTGTGTTACTCCTACTTCAGCATCTACAACTGCGACAGGGATTGTGCTGAAGTTTATCAACTGGTTACGTTCCCTTTTGGTGCAACACATAGCGTTTACAGTTTCCTCAGGTTGTCCAGGTCCTTGTATGCTCTTGCTGCCCGTGCGCTGTACCTATTGACAACAAACTTTTACGATGACTACATTCTGGCCTCAAGGCCCAGCTGTGTGGATTCAGCGCGCAATTCAATGGAGCTGATCTTTTTACTGACGGGTTGGCAATTTGCAAAAGAAGGAAAGAAGTGCACCTCATTTGATGTTGTATGCAAAGCACTGGGTGTGGAGTTCGACCTGAGCTTGTCAGGTGAGAGCATATTGAGAATCCAAAACACTGAACAAAGGATTCAGGACCTTAAGACATTGATCAATGCGACTTTGGATGCTGGTTCACTGGGAAAGCAATCAGCGCTTGTGTTGCGTGGGAAGTTGGGGTTTGCGGACTCCTATTTGCATGGCCGTTTGGGTGCTCTGCTACTCAAACAATTGTCAGAGCATGCGTATGGGCGTGGCACGAAACTGCCTTTTGAATTGGTAACTTCATTGACTATGATGATGCACCGCCTATGCAATGGACGACCAAGAGAGGTAAGTGCAAAACCTCTTGTTGAGTGGTTTCTTTACTGTGATGCTGCCTATGAGCCGGAAACAAAGTCTGGAGGCCTAGGCGCAGTTCTTTGCGATAATTTGGGCAAGTGTGTTGCTTGGTTTGGTATCCCTTTGGAAAAGGATACATGCGTTGTCTTCGGAGCGGACAAGAAGCATACGATCATTTATGACTTGGAACTGTGTGCTGCAGTACTGGCCTTGGATTTTTGGGCTAGTGCATGAGGGTGGCCTACAAGTTTGCTTTGGAGACAACGATGGGGTGAGATTTTCTTTGATACGTGGCACTGGAGGGAGTTTTGTGGCTTCGTGGTTGATGGAATATCATCTCAACCGCGAGGCTGACAACAACCTTTGTCTTTGGTTTGCTCGAGTTCCTACAGAAGCTAATATCAGCGACTTTCCTTCTAGGGGAGCTTACCACCCTATGTTGACTGGACGTTGTGATCAATCTGTGGAAGCTTAGCTTGCTTTGAGTCGTTGAAATGCAAGTTCGTGGCTGGCAATGCTTAATAAGAATGGGGGTGTCCAGACGCATCGCCCCCGATGTAAAAAGATTGCACTGCTGTGCGTTCACTTCAGAAGACTTTGTTATGGCCAACACGGACAACTTGACGATGAAGCTGAATTCATTCATCGAATTGTCATGGTGGACATGTTAAGAAATGATGCATTCATTTTGGGACACAACGTCCATTCTTTCTTGCCTGAAGTTTTTTCCTCAAGAGGTGGGTGGGTGGGCCGTCGTGATTTTTCCACTTCAAAGCGCCCACCCACCCACCACGCACTTTGAAGCGAAGATTCAGAGTTTGACAGGCCACACCCTAAGCCTGTCCAGACGCATCGCCCCCGATGTAAAAAGATTGCACTGCTGTGCGTTCACTTCAGAAGACTTTGTTGTGGCCAACACGGACAACTTGACCATTATATAATTTTTTGTCACTTGTTTTGAATCACCAAAAATCGCGATGAGTGTTCTTTGGATGCCAGCAAATCATTTCAGTGTCCGATGTTTGCTGGTGAAACGGAGGTTTTTCGTGCTGTCAGCCCGTTCAGCCCAATGTCCGTCTAAGCGGACATATTTTTTTTAATGAACCGGGGCATCAATTGTCGCAAATTGTACCGGCTGCATTCATGCATCATGATAGCGATACTTTCACCTCAATTGGATGCAATGTGAACAACAATAACTGATACAAATCATGTTGATGCATGTCATGGTTTGAAAAACCGTTTCGGGATACATGTTGTGATCCATGTTTTTCGGCCATTGATTTAACGACCATGTTGTCGTGGCATTGCATTCAAAAATGATGTCAATATTGTTTCAAAACCGGCACATGCATCTTGTTTGGGCATGTTTATCAAACCTTTGCATTTTGTACGAAATCAAATTGTGCCATGTGGTGTTTGTTTTGTATGATGGTTTGTTGTATGAATGGATGATTACAATGATTACCATATATTCAGTCCGTTCCCGGAATCTCAGTGCGAAAGGTGATTTTTTGGAAAATCTGGGTGTATTTCACGGGAGGATGTGACTTTAGAACATTGATCGTTTGTTCCAGCATTTGGGTTCAGTAGCAGTTGTGTCATCACGTTTCTTGTTTTCACAACTGTGACAGCGGTGGATATCACGTTTTATTTCCCATGCAAATCAATGTGATTGTTGTGGCTAGACGATTCTTGGACATAACCGTTGGCAAAACCATTTTTTTTCTCGGGACTGTCTTGGCATGGTTCACCGTCACAGTTTCTGAGTGGATTTGGACTATTGCGACAAACATAGCGTCGTAAACCCAATAATGAACCATCCCCGATATCACTAAAAAAATACCCAAAAATGGGTCAGTACTATTGACCATCGGAAACATGGGATTTTCCAAACACGATAAATGGGTGGAATAAACCATTCCCAACCATCCCAAACGGTAGTTGACCTCGATGGTGCAACGCTTGGAAACCATTGCATCTTCGCGGGCCACACACGACGTGGCGATTCCTCCCGCGGCGCTAAGGCAACCATTGGATTGAAAAATTGGTTTGGTTATGATTGTTTGAGGTGACCATTGATAACCATTGGATTTTAAATTTGGATTTATAAACCATGTTTGAAAATGATTGGATTGATTGGAAATGTGATGGGAATATGATTTCCAAAAATTAGTAATCCGATCGTTTTCAATCAGCTGGTAGCGAAATTTGAAAAAGTATTGGGCACAACGCGGAGTTGTCCATGTGGCAGGTCTGTCGCAGAACTGGAGCAGTTATGCATGTGCTAGCCTCAATATTCCGCAGTTCCTGCTGCCCCAATTCTGGTGCAAAGAAGTGCTGGAACCAACTGAAAACCAATGTGCCATGTAAATATCGTATGTAAATGGCAATCACTGAACCAAGAAGAGATCGTCGATTTGTTTTTCACCATTGTTTTTTTCTTGTCAAACTTTCAACTAACATTTTTTTTCATTTGGTGAGACAGAAAATGCAATAGGCACAACATGAGACTTCAGGCGACGCCAGGCATTCATCGTGCAGCTGGAACGAGAACTTGCATCGTCCAGCCGACGACAACTTGAACTTATCGCATTTTTTTTTGAGAGACAGTTCTTTGTGTCGTTGCATATGGTTTTGGTTTGGGATCACATTTGATCCTGACATTTGATGCAATTTAATCCAAACAACAGGCTTAGACAACCAAGCGAGTTGGAACGACGAGTTGAGGTGTGGAACAGTGTTGTTTGTTTTTTTTTGCAGTTGCATTCCATGAGACGCAAAGTAGATCTGGCTAATTCACCGTTGCAGAATCATTTTTTAAACCACATGCTGACAAGCAACTGACGATGCTGTGTCAATACATAGCCTTCATTTTATTTTGCTGGCACAGGTACTTGAAGAGATTGTACGCCTGGGACAGAAAGTCGATGTAGATGAGTCGGTGTGAAACTCAATTTATGTCAAGGGCGTTGCCGGCGCCATATCATCGAACGTTGCTCTTGTGTGTGTGTGCGTGTGTGTGTGTGTTTGTGTTCGTGTGAATTATTTCGGAGATTTTCAGAGAACAAACAACTTTATTTTCAAATTTATCTTCATCCTCACACGTTGGAAACATTTCCAATTTGCTCAGAAACACTTCCTCCCTGCTTGTGGCATAGGACCTAGGATGTTTTTTAGTCTCAACAATAACGTATTTTTGCTTGGTGAAGGGGCATGCACTCTTTGAGAGAGTTCCACACAGATCCGGAATTGTCATTCGACCT